ACCTCTTTTATATGTGGAAGCAGAGAGATTCTTCCTTTTAAAGCTTATAACATATTTTGTGTGGAAACACAAGCACCACCTTCCTTCTCTCCCTCTCGCTCTTTTACCTCTCAATCTATCTCTGTAACTCTGTTTCCGATTAACAAAAGATGTCCAATAACGAAGAGCCTGTGGAGGAAACAAATGGGAATTCATTTCACATAGTGAAGCAGGATTTGAAAGATCGGTGTAAGGTATGGCCAAATTTGAATGGTTTTTTAATGGATTTTCATTAAAAAAATATTTATTTATTTATTTTATCCACATGTCACGATGTGATTGGACATGTGGGCTCCACTTATCTTCCACATCATACACTTAATAGAATTTTTGACGGCAGGGACCATTTGTGATAAAAAGTCCAAACGTTAAGGACTATTAGACCATCTCCAACCCAATGGGTGGAAACTCAAATTTTGAGTTTAGCCTCCAAAAATCTTCTCCAACCCATGTATTTGGGAGGGTGAAAATTTGAGAAAACTCAAAACTGGACTGGAATTCCAGACTGATTTCTGCCTGGACTGATAAATTTGTGGGCCCCAAATCTACTTTAATTTAATTTTTTTATTTTTGCTGGAAGCCCACGTGATGGGCAATACATGCTGGGCCCGCTGACAAGTGGGAAAAATATGATTCGCTTTTCCTTTATTAATGGCCAACGGCTACTTTTTCAAAAAATATGTTATGCTTTTCTTTTCTTTTTTTAATTCCAACAGCTATAAAAATATGTTGTACTTGTTTTTATTTTTAAGTGAAATTCTATTATGTTTTGGAATTTTAATTTTTTTGGTTAAAATGTTTAGAAAATTAAATCACGAGTATTGAAACAAAAATAATGTCAAGAAAAATTAACAAGAAAAAAAATTTAAGGGTTAATCATTCTTAAACAATTTAATAAAGTTGCGGACTCAAATTATGAGTCTGCAAGGTTGGAGGAAAAAAAATTTGAGTCCTAAAAATACATGAATAGTTGTATTTTGAAAGGTGAAAATTTGAGTTTAGCCCCAACATGGTTGGAGATGGTCTTAGTGTCACAAAAAAACCTCAAGGACCATTCATGATAATTTCGTAAACATCAAGGACCATTTGTGATAAAAAGCCTTAATAAAAAGTAAAAGGCATAGCCTGAGCATTAGTACTTCAAATTGGTCCATGAGATCCTTGAACAAAAAGAGTTTGAGTTGATAATATTGACATTAGATGCTTAGAGCATCTCCAACCGATATGTCAAAAGTGTCACATAGACATTTAACAACTAGAAATAACATCTCACACACTCCAACCGATGTGTCAAAGCTGATGTGGAATGAAGGCTGAAGATTGAGATGTTATTTTTGACATCCCAAAAGTAAGATGTCAAATGAATATTTTATTATTTTTTCTTTTCTATTCTTTTTAATTAAAAATAAATCAACACTAAAATGTAATAAAATAATAATTTAATTTGACATATTGGGTGGAGTGTAAAGCTGTGTAAGATGTCAAAGTGCCACATCAGCCATCAAATTTAAATTTGATGTTTAGTATTTGACATCTCCCTTGGAGATGCTCTTAGAGAGCCAAACCATAAGATGTTACGTACTCCATAATATTATGACAATTTAGTATTTCCATGCGAATTCATAAACAATTAATTCAACTAATAAGAATACGGCCAATGTGCTATATGAGTTTGAATATAAGATTATTGATATGCAAATTAATGTCTTCTTTTTTTTACTGAGTGAGACTCCGTTATCATTATTCACTTGAAACTTTTATATGACTAATCGGTCTACGTACAACCATCACCACAAAAATAAAGGAGAAGGGCGAGGATGAATTCCCAGGCGCACGGGGTGAGTGGAGGGCTGCAATTTGGACAGCTTTCTTCCAAATGGGGCCCACTCGATTTCAGGGGCTTCAAGTGGGCTTCAAAAACTACTTTTATGTATTTGTATCTAGATAATCAATGGGTAATGGCTGTTTTTCTAGTAGTTAAGCCCATCACCATCACTTTTATTCTCATTAAAACCTTTGAGCATCTTAATTAGAATATGTGAGAAAGTTACGTAAATGCAAGACTAGCAAGCATGTATTTTTAAATCTAAAATAGTTGTTCGCACCACTTTGCAAAACCCAAGGGAGATGTCGTATAGCAGTGTAGCTTGGAAGTCCGAGTGTCGTATCCACAGAGAGCAGTGTAAAGAAAATAACAGAGATGAAAAAGAATAATTATGATTGAGAGGTAGATTTATGCAAGATTTGATTTAGAGAAAATTTAATTGATTAAAACACTAAGGCATTGGGGTACCACTTTTAACATAAGCATGCAACTCTTAATAATTTGATCCACAAAATATTTTCCATTGTAGTTGTTCAAAATAATTAAAG